CCTACATGACTAAACGTATGCTGTGGCAGCTTAAAAAATGGCCACAGATTCTTTGCCATTTCTCCTGTGGGATCTATTGTCGGCTCTTTGAATCGGGGCTATCCTGGTGACTTGCTTTGGCCAAGAGAATATAGTGGGGGTGGTGCTGTGTGACTTCCAAGAGGTCTCTGAAGGCTTTGCTACTTCCTCTCAATTCTGCCTTCAGGTAAGGAGGCCTCCCAGCCATCCCACCTGAGTTCCCAGGCATGTGAGTGACATCACCTTAGACCTCCCAGCCTCAGATGAGGATCGGCCAGCTAATTATAGAAGAGCAGCCCAGATCACACAGTTGTGAGAAATAATAAATCACTGTTGTTTTAAGCTATTACATTTGATGGTGCCTGTTACACAGCAATGAGTAACTGAAGCATACGTATATCGTGTTAATATGTACTATGCTGATATAAATAAGTATGTGGATGAGATCTGAATTCATATTCATTGAGACCTGAATTCATATTCATTGATATATATCCTTGACTTAAAACACACATACACACAATCATCAAAAAAACTGCAGTGAGAGCACAGGCCTTTGAATCAAAGAACGTGGGCTCAAGACTTGGACCTGCTCTGTCCCTTGTACCAGAGAACACTTATGATTTTGCACAAGTCACGTATTTCTCAACCCATTTTCATGTCCGTAAGTTCCTCATGGAACCAGATGACAATAAAATGAGAATAACCAAAGTGAATGCTTTGTAAACAGCAAGGCACAGTACACAGTTAAGCTGTCTTTGGTACTGCTACCCTACGTGCTACTTATAGAATTTTTTGTTTTTCCTTCTCTGCAAAGACGTCATTGGGATCCAAGTGACTACCCTAACTGTCTGGCTGTAAGCTTCCTTTTGCTTGGAGGTGTTTGCACGCACACATACAAAAGGCCTTCCAAAGACATTCAAGTGCCATGAGCCACATGGACAGTCCCATTTCTCCTTCTTATCATGCAGTGCTTAGGCCCAATGTACGGCCCAGCGCACTCACTCCCTTCCACTACCTTCTGAGAGGTGTGATGAGCTGCCATAGAGCTCCCATCACAGTCCAGTGCCAAGAGAAGAGAAAAGGATGGAAAGAATTGGCAGGGGGCCTGGAAACCTAAACCAAGCCGAGGGAGGGAAGAACTAAAAATGGTTAAAAGCTAATTATATCACATAAGAATGATGTCTAAACAGGATGAAACACCGCAAAAGAGGGAAACACAGGATGATGGGCCATTATGAAAAAGAAGAGATGCAGCAAGGAACGAAGGCATAACCTGTGCTTAGAAAGGGCAGAGGGAGGTGGGAAACCCAGAGTGGTCAGGGGCAGACACGGAAGGGGATACCCACGTGTGAAAGGCACATCTAGAGTCAGTGTCTGTCACGTGTGAGGGCTCAATTCATGAATGAACGAATAACTGAGTGAATGACTGAACTGAAAAGAGACAACTCTAAAGAAAATTAACAAATTGAGCGAGGACTCACCCCGAAACAGGGCAGCAAACGACCTGAACAGGTGACACAGTCTCACTGGGAATGGCAATTCCATTCGGATGGAAATGAAGGAGGGAGAGGATTATTTTTTAAGATAAGGTGGGAGAAAGTCCACACATTCCTTTTGTAGTCTATGGAAGGCATAATATATCCTTATAAAAAGGGTGGTTACTTTCACCCAAGGTGCGTCTCTACCGCCAAACTTTGATATTTCATCTGATGTTGTCCTAACTGCACAGGGCCTTTCCCCTCTGAATTCTCCACATAATCAGTGTTATCTAAGATGGCTCTAAATTCTTAGCAATGCTCTTTCCAATTATGCTAGTAAAGGTCAAATAATCATAACAGGATTTTACATGCTCTACAATGATCTTCTTTATATCTAAACATCATGCTTATGAGAGCAAATTTTGAACATGGTTCATACATAGGAACAAAGTTACGTCGTTTTTTTGTTTTGTTTTTTCCCCTCTTAAAATACTACCACTATTACTACCTACGAGGCTCTCTTCTATTTCCATTTCCACATGATTGTTTGGGTTTTTATTCTCTTGTCAAAGTATGACTTGTCTATTGTCCTCCCTAGAAAGGAGGAACCTACGTAATATGCTAAACTAGGTTAAGCCACAGTCTGAACATATTCTGTACTTAGCAATTATTCGGTATTTACTGCATGCACAGAGGAAAAGAAAGACACAATTTCTGACCTTAGAAACATCCTTTTGTTGGTGAGACAAGACTTCATACATGTAACACCAAGAACAATGCAAGGAAGTATATGATGAACTGCCACATGGGGAGGTCTATTTTGAGAGTTCCTACGGGGTGGGATGGGAGTTGGCTGAAGCATGAAGACCTTTGTGGGTAAAGTGGGATTTAATTGGAGTCCTGCAGGATGAACAATATTAGAAAAGGTGGAAAGGAGAGATAAAGGCACCCTGTGCTTTGAAAAGTGAGCTTGGTGTTTGGAATGGATGGTTTAGAAAGTATTGAGAACTGGGCCATTAAGAAGGGGGTTGGGGAAAAACTGCAGGGTTTTAAAGTGAGCCAAGGCAGGAAGATAATTTTCCTCTTCTTCAACATATAAGTCATTATGCCTAAGAGCGGGCGCATTTGCTTATTCATTTGTTCGTTCATTCATTCATCAATAAATGTAGATTGGTATACATCAAATCCTATTCCAGGTACGAGAGCCTCTAAAATATTCTCTTCCCTTGAGAATCACACAGAGTGGGAAAAAAGCTGACAAAAAGAATCAATGATGTTATATATTATTAAAGTGCTATGATAAAGAGACGCACGGGAATTAAGTTAAAAGAGGGCAGAGGAGGTACACCTAAGTCATCGTAGGGGCTGAAGACTAAAAACACTTTGAAGAGAGGGAACTGCAATCCAGAAGGAGGAGTGAAAGCTGTCGAAGGGGGAGAGGAGTCAAGTGCAAACGCAAAAGGCAGGGAGCGTGAGAGCGCTCGGGGAGGGGCCATGTCAGGTGGAAACACAGGATGTGTGTGTGGAGAAGGGGCGGGGGCGGGAAGCAGGGGTCACCGGCTACCTAAAGCACAGGAAACTAAAGAGCTGTGAGAACTTACCCCTTCCCTGCAAATAATTTACAGTGGGAGCCTGAATGACTTCCTTCTCCATGTTCCCCATTCCTTCATCAGAGGCACCTTCCACTGACCACGCCTTAGTTCCGAATGCAAAGTCAAAAACCACGTCCCTACAGTAATAACCATCCTAAGGTTTATGTTTACCAGACTCACAGAAGCTTGGAGAGGAAGACGGACGGCTTCTAGCTGAACCTCCTTTCCAACATCACATTTCTTCTAAGCATTCCTGGCAGGTGGCCATCCAGACAGAAAGAACCGTCTCCAGCTCCAGGGAGCTCAGACTATCTCAGGAAGCAGCCCAATTCATTACAGCACATCATTAGCTGTGAGAAAATGTTTCTTCTTCAACTGAGATTAAAGAGGTCTTCCCGTAGCTTCTACCCACTCCGAGCCCCTGGCGTGCCTCCTACGCGCAGATGGTCCTACATTACCCTGATCGCAGTGAATGAGGGCTGTCCCTTTTCCTCACTGAAGGGATTGTTCACTAACGACTGGCTTTGTTCTGATTAATTGGGTTCTGGAATATACCACGCTACCTTCCTTTTCATAAAGACCTTGAAGGGACATCTGCTACTTTCAGCAATGCTCCACTCCCTTCCTTTATTGATTAGTAATACCCTATGTTTGCACGATGCTTCACCCCTTTCCAAGCATCTGCACGCAAATTCTCCTGTCACAGTATCATAAGAAGGGGCTGTGCCACTATTACATTATCTTCACAGAAGCTTTTGTATCTGTTTTATGATACAGTGTAAGGAACAGGGAAGTCATGTCAAATATGTCGGAGAGAATTTCAGGGTCTCGGACAGGACAAAGGTGAGGTGGTGTTAAAGAACTCATGTATTTTAAGACAAGAAAGAAGAAAGAAGTAATTATCAGAACAGCCTGGAAAGTCTACTCCAGATACGGACAAATAATGGGTACTTACCTTCACTAAGGATCAGAGATACTCCCAGCTGCATAATCACAACTATTCATGCAACAAACACAGGTGCCAAGTGCCTGGCACTGGGACTGAGGGAGACAGAGTGAAAGAAGGCAGTGTCTGGATAGTAAATGTAGAGCAAAAGTTGAAAGGAATGAGATGACTTAGCCTAAATGACGTCTTAGTGGCCTGGGGAAGGTCATGGCAGAGGGCGAGAGAGCATCTTAGAAGGAGCAGGATGTAAGCCCCCGTTTCTAAGCAGGGTCTTCCCAAAAGCCAAGCCCAAGGGCCAGCTCTATGGTGGTGCAAGGAAGCCCCTCATTACAGACCTGCAGCCCTTCACGCTCGGGGATGAACCCATCCTATAGGCTAAGTGGATGTCCTGCTGCTACGACTAGAATGCCAGCCCCTTTTTCTCCCCATCAAGCCAAAGAGAGATGTGTTTGTTACTCCAGAAAGTACTGCAAAAACATAGACTCCTCTTTGCCTCTGCCAGCAATAGGTCTGCAATAGGTCTGGTAGATGTGAAGAATCCTTGGGGAGAACTCCATGATGCAGGGTTTCATCCTAGTGGTCACAATGGTCAAGCTCCTGTAAGAGTCACTGCAGAGGATCGAATGACATGCCCGCTATGGATGGACACCTCGCTGCCTCCCTGGCTACCTCCTGAGGGGCATGTCTGCCTGGACAGTTCCCAGTCTGCAGAAGTGCACGGCACCCCGACATGAAGGGTCTATGAGGATTAGTGACTGCCCCTGGGAACACCTGGCTTGGATCCGAGGAACCACACAGGTAAATACCAAGTTGTAGTAACAGTTCAGTGATTTCTCCGCAGAAACGGGAGAAGATCGGGTTTCCCTAATTGTTGGGGAAAACAAACTGCATGCTTGAAACTTTGCCTCCCAGGATGCTAACACACAAGACAGGAGGAAGCTCATTAACTGAGGACAGACCGACCTTGTTGGCAGCGTGCAGCAACCGTCCGCTGTGAGTCTGACTTGAGTTTCGTAGCTATCCAGGGGGCACACGGCCTGCTGAACGGAGGGGCACTCCACAGTGCTGCAGTCCACGCTGAACACTGGAAGGGGCAGACAGAGGCACCGTTTACTGTGACATGTACTGGCATTTTGACTGAGTCCCCAAATGAAACCCTGGCTCGGGACACATTTCTGCAGCCGGCCTCGCTTCCCAGAAGCCTGTCCTAACACGGGCACATTCGGTTCACTCAACGTTCGAGATCGGTAATGCGTCCCAGGTCTTCGCACAAGGAGAGCAGGGGACAAGACACTTAAGAGTTCAGATGAAGACACAGAGAGAGCATTAAGCCAACGGTGGTTACGTGGGTAGATGCGCTTCTAATAAAACAGTTCAAGAGATGCACAAAGGATTGTTTTGCTTGAAGCATTTATCCAGCAGTTAAGAGAAATCTGACTAATGGTTAGAGACATGTAAAGAGGAAATCACTAGAGCCCAAACCTATTCATAGACCACGCAAGATACACTGCCAGAAGACCAAGGAAGTTAGAAATAACCTAAAGCAAGAAACAGCCGGGACACCGCAGCGGATCACACGTGGCAAAGAAGGTGAGTGAACAGCCAAAGATGACTTGGCACATGCTATCAGAGCCAACAGATGGATGTGGGGAACGGGCAAGAGGGAAGATCGGGGCTGAGCACTCCCTTACGGAACGTCTGGCATTCTGATGCCTGTATGCACCTAAAAAAAACTTTGTTTTATGTATGATGGTTATTTTAAATGTGATCATTAAAAGCAACAGATAAATCTGCAAATGAAGGCTCAGAGACCTTTTCTGGGGGGAAGGAAGCAGCAGGTACCTTAAGTTTTAACCCCCCCTCTCCCATCAAGCAGACATGGAGGGGGACAAAGAAGAAGAAAAGGGAAACAGACAGGGTCCCCCTCTGGAGGCACTGTGGTACCAGGGAATCATTTCTCTGCTTCTCTGAAGAGGAGGCCAGAAGTCAGGCTCCTCTAGCCCACAGCGACAGACGCGCAGTGTACCGGCGAGAATGCCCGTCTGCACGCGGAAGGAGGGGCTGCTGTGGAGGGACGCGGCTGCTGAGACGAGGCGCGTGCATACCTGGTTTGCACTCATAGAGGTCACAACACTCTCCCGGCTTCCCTGAGGCCTTTGACACTAGAATGTTCAGGTATCCCGGCTGGCAGACTTTGCGCAGGCAGCCCGCGGGGTCGCACACGCAGCGGCTGGGTAAGGGGCAGCACTTCCCGGGGGGAGCGTAGCCCTCGATCAGGACGGAGTCCTCAGGACAGCGCGGGGAGAACTGGACTTCACAGCGGGCCTTGGAGCAGTCCGGCTTCTCTTCTAAATGGGAGAGACAAAGTTTAGCACGTGCCGGGAGGCTGTGGGGCGCGTTCCACAGAAGCACACGCAGTCCTAGCGATCCAATGACTAACCAAAGAGGACGGGAGAGGAAGCGGTCTGGTGAAAACCCTCACAACCATGACACCTCTCCCGAGATCTGCTCACGGACACCAGGATGGGAGGCTGAAGTTGCCTCTGTCTCCATCTTCCCTCTCACTTGTGTTGAATTATCAATGTCCAGCCTGTTGGCCAAGATGAAGACAGGCAAAGGGAAGACGCCTACACGGCCAGGAGAATCGGAACACTGAACTCAGTCCCTGACTAAATGAGAGATCCTTGCACTTAAAGGGAGTTTTGAGGGCTGTTCTTTGAAAAGAGTGCACGCTTAAATAACAAAATAGACCCACACATAAATCACGGCTGCTTCAGGGACGGGAGACGGTGTACATGACAATCAGCACGGAAGAGCTCTGATTGTTGAGGAGACGAACTTATTAAGATTCTATGATGTGGAATCTCAGTAAGGTGGACGACGAGCCAAATTCCCCTGTAATTTCCCTAAATGCCATCTGGTATGTTTCTGTCTCCAGCAGAGATCCAACAAATGTACCGCATTCTCTTTTCTCTAGTAGGATGCACTGATCCATCGCTGCACCTCAATCTTAGAAACAAAAACCGACCAAGCAAAGCCCTAGTTTCCGGAGACATCAGTCCATTCCTCAGCTCCTTCGTTTACGTTTTTAAGAAACTTACACCAACATTAATTAGGTCCTTGAGGAAAGACGGAAATAAACCAGAAGCACATCATAGTAGCCTCAGGACCTTGGGGGAAGGGGGGAAAGATGGTACCATGTAGTATTGGGGTACGCTATCATAAGCTCTGCCTTTCCTCATGTAAAACCCACACAGAATCACAAAGCAGGATTAGACCTCGTTCACAGTCTTCTCGTTTAAAAACGCTCTTCTCTTTGTAGATAAAGAAACTGAAGCCCAGAGCTGAAGCGATGCGCCCGAGGTCAGCGGTACACCTCAGGCGAGAATCCAGGTCTCCTCACTTTCAGTTCTCCTGGTGCTTCATCGCACAAAAGCAGATCTATTTCCTAAGCCACGTGTTCCTCGGGTCGTTTCCTACCTCAACTGCTGTATCTTTCATTTACTGTCCATCTTCCTTATCTAACTCCTTCATATCCAATCAAAACATAGTACAGGGAAGTCTTCATCCTCATCGCTCTAGAAAATTCATTCAAACATACTTATTGAGCTCCTGCTGTTCCTGCAGCCTGGGGCATCCCATAAAGAGAAGAAGCATAGGTCCCTGACCTCAAAAAACTTACAATGCAGTGGAGAGTGATAGAAAATAAACAATAAACATTATGCCTAAGCAAACTATAGAGATAGTAGAGGGTGGTAAGTGCTACAGGGGGAAGAACAGAACAGAGCAAGGGGGAATGAGGATGCATGGAAGAAGAGGGAGCAGTGAAAACCTGGTGAGAACAGGCATGGGCGGGAAGCTGATAATTGAACAAAGACTTGAAGGAGTGAGGGCTGGGACGCGGAGATGGCTGGGAGGAGAGCATCCCCGCAGAGGTAGGCACAGGACGTGTGTCCCAGGACGGGCACGGGGGCCAGGGAGGCAGCAGCAGGATAGATGGAGGATGCAGATAGCTTCTTTTCATATAATAACTACAGGCAACCGCTTTGAGTAGGAAAGAGGAATTCCACTCTTGGATCCCGGTCAGAACGGGCAGAACAGAGCAAAAGGCTGAGGAGGAGAAAGTGAATCTTCACTGTACGGGGACTAACAGAGCTGGAGTTTGTAAACTGCACCTAGGAGATGGTGTATCTGGCTGACAACAAACACATGGTCTCATAATTAATAAGAGTTCTGTGACTTTAACTGCAAATAGCTCTTAATTCCCACTCTTGTTAATGGGCCAAAATTAATTTTTTCTGTATCACATTTTATTACATTCTAATTGTGTAAAATATTTGGTATCTATAATCACTTTTCAAACATATGCACCAATAAAACTTGTTTTCATTAAAACCCAACATATTAGATCTTCCTAGTTATTCTGCTCTTTGTTTCTTGAAACAGTCCCAACATTGTCATCTATTGATGTGTGTTTTGCAGTTAGGGCCTTAAGACATTTGTTTACTTCTTAAGAACTGTCTTTGTGATATACTGTTGCAAAAACACCCCTTGGAAAAGATTTAAGAATGTTAAAAATGAGGGTTAAATCTGATTAAGTGCTTTTTCAACTTTTCTCAAGATGATCATACTGGCTTTCCCTTTAATTCACTAATACACTCAATTAGATTTTAAATCATCCTTGTCTTCTTAGAATAAACCTGTTTCAAAAGATCCAGCTGGACTTGATTCCTAAAATTAAATTTTAAAAAATATATAAGCTTGATTAATATTAACCTGTAGCTCTCTCCTTTGTGTGTGTATTAGCTTCATCCAGTCTTATTTTCAGAGTCACACTAACTTTCTCAATGAGCTGTTTCACATTCTACCGCTTTCTCAGCTATAATACAGGAATTATCTGTTCTATGATGTTTTCATAAAAACCCACTTGTGAAACTATCCAACTCGGTATTTTTATTTTAAAGTAGGAAGCGACAGTTTTCTTTTTTGACTATTATTCACATGTTGTACCTCTTTTAGAATAATCTTTTCTTACTAACATACTTTAGTCAGAAATTCAATCTGATTAATCTAGATTTTCAAATTCATTTTAGGCTTTATTGATCAAACTTTCTTATTTGTAGTTTATATGTTCATCGATTCTTTTAATTTTTTTAGTTTCTTCCTTCTTGGCCTTGCTAACTATTTCACTGATTTTTTTCTCTAGTATTTGAAGATTAATGCTTAGTTTGCTTTTGTTTTATTTTCTTAGAAATGTTAATAATTTTAATACTTTATTCAAATACTGCTCTGGTTACATTCCAATTTTTTATATGCATTACTCCCAATGTAACTCATTTCTAAATAATCTATAACTCAACTTTGGTTTCTTCTGTAATAAAGACTTTCTAGAAAAATGCTGTTGAATTTCTGCATCCATGAATTTTTCTTGGGGGGGGGGGGGCTTTCCTTTAGATTTTTAATTTATAGTTATATTGTCTTATTGCCTGAGAATGTAGGCTATACAATGTTCTACTTCTGTGAGTGTTTTTGTTTTGTTTGTGTGTGTGTGTTTTTGGCATGTGTGGCCTATGGTCAACTTTAAAATACATAGATATTTGTAAAGAATGTGTTCTCTGTTTACTAACTACAAACTTACAAATCTATCAAATCAAGCTTTTCTGACATTCACATCCCCTGTATCTTACATTTTTAGTCTAATTTCCAGGAAGGATCTATACAAACCTCCCACTATGTACCCGTAACTTCTCTTTGTGTTTCTAACATTAGGTTTTGACTTGAAATTTTCAAGACTGGGTTGTTTACTTTATGACTAGCAGGCATAATATTCAAGTTATATAGTGACTTGACAAATTATAAAATAATACTTTCAAATAATTTCGATTTCTAAGATCTATATCTTTCTTTTTATCTTGTAATTGTTAACCTTCTTAGCTTTATTATTCTCTTCCTTCAACCCTCTATTCACCTTTCAACAGAGCATCCAGAACCCTACTCACCCAGCGTCTTCCCCTCTCCCAACCAGTCAGCAGCCTGTCACCTAAACCCAACCAGGGTTACCACAGCATCAGGAATTGTTTTTCTGATTCCTTTTTTCTCAGCCTGTTTCTAAATAAGTCTTCCAGTACATTTCATTATGTCTCTATTTCATCTCCTCCATGGAGAAATCGAGAAGAAAAACTACAGCCATACCATGTATTTTCCATCATTCAGAAGGCTTTTCTGACATTACCTCTGAAATTTTAATTTTATCCATTTGAAAAGAAGCCTCTTCTCTCCTGACACTTCCCCTATGATGTCTACATATAATACTTAAGTTAATTAACAAGCTTTGCAGTCTGGTTGCCCTAGCAACAACACTTTGAAACTGGAATCTTTAATAACCAAAAAAAAAAAAAACCCAAAAAACACCACACTAACAAAAATACAAAAAAAGAAAGAAAACCCATCACCAACAAAAACTGCCCTAGATATACCAGACTAAAGTGACAGTAGCACTTGCAATAGAGGTAATTAAGGGACCATCCGCTAGTTTCATTATTTTAATAGTCTTCCTATAACAGGTTAGCCCTTAAAATATTGACAGGGTCACCCAGGATTAATTATAATAATACTGGAGAATTCGTACCACTCCTAGTAATTTTAACTAGTGTGACTACAGGTTGGCCAACTACAGGCCTCCAGGTCTGTATGTCAACAGGGAAAAGTGCAATCATGATCTACGCAATAAACGCATTCAAGAGTATTCAGTTTAAACACACATTTAAGTAAAACCAAAGTAAAATGAAAATGCTACTAGATGGGAAGAGAAAAAAGAGAAGAGAAAAATTATACTGCCAGATTCTAATTATATCTACTTCATTTTTATAGAATTACCACACATTTACTACCAAGTTTTCCTCCTCTTTCAAAATCTCTAAAAAAAACAACAGATATGCTAAACACTTATTAATGGAAAACAGGCAGCATAAAATGGACTGATAAAATTCAGATAAGCAACCACAAAGTCGAGGCTGCTGGGTACTCAGTCCTTTCCTGAAATGCATCCTAATTCTCTCTCTCTCTCTCTCACACACACACACACACACACACACAGTCAGGATCATTCTGAGATGATAGCTATTTCAAGGGACCCCAATTTGATTAGACCCGACAATGTCAGAATTTGGTAGGCAGAACACAGAGTAAAGAGGAGAAGAGTCTGTGATCAATTTTCCCCACACGTCACTCTGGTAATCTTCCTCCTTTATAATCTGGAGTCTCGGAGTAGCTAAGGCATCAGCCCTGGTAGCACAGGGGCCGCTTGGTGGCCCTGGGAGATAAATCTCCTCATGGTACCAGCTGAGGC